TGAGTGGCTCCAGGCATTTTCCTTGACACCCATTTCTGCACAGAATTCTTCAATCCTCTGTGGCTAGGGGAAGGCCCCTGTGTGACATTCAGGGAAGGCTGAAGGACTTGACGCCTTGGCATACTAGATGATTGAAAAAGTCAGTTAGAGCAGAGGGAGAAAAGGAGTAATTCCTTTTGGTTGAGACGAACGGAGAAGGATACAATCAGGAACTGACTTCTATCACTCTGCCTCTTTCCCTTATCTTCCTCTTCAGTGGCTGGGTTCAGATAACATGAAAGCCCACACTCAAGAGTTGAGTATGGGTTGAGTGTGGATTGTTGTTGAATTGTGGTTTGTTGCTAAAACATGGCTGATTTAGTCTGCGTATTCTGAACTCAATCACTCTAATGAACCATGGTTCATTAACTACAAAGAGCCCACGTTCACACCCTAACAACAAACCATAGGATGTCTTCATGAGTTGTTTCTGGTTTAACAAGCAGTGGTTTGTTAGCACGGATGGGTTCAAACAAAAGAATAACCCACATTTTAAACAACCCACAGTTTGACAACAACCCACACTCTTCCCTTGTGTGTGGATTATCATGTGTTCTGAACCCAGGCAGTGGCTGTATCCCACTCTGATACCCTTTTCCTTATTGCTGCTCCCCTTTGACACCACCTTCTCCTACAACCTCTTAGCTCGTCTACTTGCTCAGCGCCACCAGTCTTTCCCATTCTTTTTTCTTTTCATTCTGACTCCTCCTACATTTCACAGGTCAGATTCCAACACCGTGATGGTATTTGACATACCTCATCCAGATTAGGATGACAACAGTGGGAAATATAATAGAATCAACTTCCTGATGCAAGGTTTAAATATGATTTATGAATGGGGCTTAATAGATGAAGATCAGTGATGATCTATTGAAAATCAATGGAAACGGATTAGAAAAATTGAAGACAAAGATTGGGAAACAGCATCAGAAGGAGATCAAGAAGATGCAGAAGAAATTGTTGGAGGTGTGGGAGGACATTCACCAACCTGAAGTGTCAGCTCAGTGGAAGAGGAGACATTGAAAGCATTAGAAGAAGATCAAAGGGGTAAAGAAGATGTACTGATTGGTGGATGCTCCCTGACTTGAGGAAGTAGCTCACTGGAGAAAGACTTACCAATATGGTGTCAACATCCAGGAAGTGGGCGACTGACTAGCACAAGCACAGTGCATGAGCACAGTCACACAGTCCAGAGGTCAGAGCCAAGGGTTGCAGTACTAGACACAGTCCATTCAAGAAGAAAGCATAGTCAAGCAAGCCAGGCATCAGAAAACCAGGAAAAGAAGCCAAAAGGAGCAGGTACTTTGTGGACTGGAGCAAGGCAGGAGCAAGGTGGGAGGAACTGGAGCAAGGCAGGACCAAGGCATGAGAATCCACAAACCAGGAGCACTTAAGCAAGTCAGGAAGACCTTTGTTGCCAGGGCAGCTTTTGGGAAGAAGACTCAGTTCTTATATAGCTTTTCTGCCAGGTTCCCTGGTGGAGCACATGATAACCCTGGCAGCTGCAGCAGACTGGGGTAGTGATCCTACAACTACCAGGGCTGTTGTGCTGATCCTTGAGCAGCAGAGAAAGCCCTGAAGCTGCCATGGGTCTTGACACATGGGCAGAAGAACTGGTGGTAAAGAAGGGGAAGAAATAGAGGGGGGTAGTATTTCATCACTCTCTCTAGGATGGTCAAGATCTCTTTTTGCTGATAGCACCAGAGTGTAGGACATGGAATAATCAAGTCAAGCTGTGACAACCCAGATTCTGGCTAGATATCAGGAAAAGTTTGTTTGTTTGTTTGTATGTTTGTTTAAAACTTTTTAGACCATAGCTTACCATAGTTTCCTCAGTGTCAGAACACTATGGCAGTGGAACCAGCTGTCTAGAGGGGTGGTGGGCTCTCCCACACTGGAGACATTCAAGGAGTAACTGGACAACCATCTGAGTGGGATGGTGTAACTCGGAGTCCTGCAACTGCAAGGGGTTGTACCCCATGACCTTCATGGCCCCTTCCAACTCTACTATTCTATGATTCTATGTGGTGAGGCAAAGAACTGAAGTTCTCCTGCTCTACTTGCCATTGCATCAGGATCAGGGAAGCTGCACTCAAGGCCAGAAGTCTACAGCTAAGCTAATGTGTAGTTTTACCTTTGAGCTGAATTTTCTTATCTCTCAAGTATAAGATTGCACTCTTAGGCCACCATCCTCTGCATGTTCAGACAGAGAAAAAAGTTCTATAGCTCCCAGCTGGCTGCAGAATGCTTGGAACTGTAGGACTTCCTCTGTTCAAACATGCATAGGATTGCACCATTAATTTTGTAGTATTCCTGAAGCAAGAGAAGCTGTTATGCTGGTGTATCCCAGTCACTGGGGAGCATGGACATGCTGCTTTTGGGAAGCTGGACTAGATGGGGTGTTGGTTTGATCTAGCAGGTCTCTTCTTATATTCTATAAACACTACTTCACTTATCAGATGTACCAGGAGCATCTGGAGGAGAAAGCACCCATCTTCACCCTCCGGGAACTGACTTTCTTATACTTTTAGATAAGGCCAAAACAAAATCGCAAATTTATAGCAATGACCTGACATGCAAGGGCAGTGTTGATATGTTAAAAATGCACTGGACTACTCCCTCCCTGCTTTTGGCTGCCTTTCAGGGAGTTCACTGGAACTTTGGGGAGATATATTTGTTTGCCAACTTTTCAAAAGTAAATTACACCTCTCCAGGGCAAATGACAAGACCACAACTGACCCCACTCATTTCTTTCAGAACAACGAACATAGACCCTATGGTTCTAGCAATCTGTTGGCAATCTTGAGCAAGCCCTTTGGTTCTTGTACTGCCCTGCCAATAAACTTAGCCCTTGGGGCTGTGAGAAATTCCCCTGAAATTCCTTGGAAATAGGCGTTGATGACCCCTTTTCTCTATAAAAGAGAAACAGCAGCTGTAGGACGGAGGGAGGGTGGCGTTCTCCTTCTTCCAGTTTCTCAGCCCCTGAAAAGTCTACTAAAGCAGTGAAGGTAAGAGATCTCCTTAAATTGTGCCTTGCATTACTTTTCAGCTGCCCCACTCAGCCTCATGCAAGGACTTAAAAAGGATCCATCTGATTTATCAGCATTTTTTTTTTTTTTGGTGATTGTCCAGAAAAAAAACTAAATTTACTGGGGCTCTGGAACTGCTCTAATATGTATTCTAGAGGAAAACAAATTGACTGACCATTCTTTTCTTTTTTTTTCACCCCTGCTTTGCTTGTAAATATAATCGCCTGGCTCTGTTTTCCTTCTGATGAAATCTCCCTAAACCGCAATCCTTTCAAACAATGTTATACTGGCAAAAATAAAAAAATAAAAATAAATGAGATGGTGTGGAGGGAGTGAATCCTGTCAGTGAAGCACCTCATCCCATTGTTTCTTCTGTTTTGAGCTTCCTGGGAGCTATCCAGGGTACTGAATTCCACCCCCAAAATATTTCTGCCACAATGGAACAACATGGGTAGCTCCTATAAAGTTCAAAGGAAAAGCTGCACTGGACAAGGATCCCTGAAACACCACTAATGAGGGGTCCAGGCAAACCTCTTTGAGGAGACTATTCCAGAGGTGAGGCACCAACAGCAAAAAGGCCCTTCTTCTATTTGTCATCCCCCTCACTTCTGTAAGGACGTCTCTGACTCAGATCTTAAGGCACAGGTAGGTAAATATGGAAGAAGGCATCCTGGTCACAAACTATTTAGGTCTTTATGTGTCAAAATAAGCACTTGGGCCTGGACCTCAGCCAGTAGCCAATGTAGTTGCTACAGGATTGGCATAATATGGGTGCATGGGCTAGCTTTTGACAACAGCTGGGCAGCTCTGCTTTGAACTAATCTAAGTTTTCAGACCATCTTTATGGGCAGCCCACCTAGAGAGCATTACAATAGTCCAGCCAGTATGTTACCAGGCCTTGGGTAACTGTGGCCAGCCTCTGTCCAGGTAGGCCAAAGCTGGAATATCAGCAGTAGCAGAAGAAAGATGCCCCTGGCCACCTATCTGACACTTGAGTGATAGTTCTGGGTCCAGGAGCAGCCCAAGCTATGGCCATGTCCTTTGGAGGCAATGGGACTCCATGCCAAACAGGTTGAAGACCCCCTAACCTGTCAGATGATCCACCCATCAACAGTACCTCTGTCTTTCCTGGAATGAACTTCACCTTATTGGTCCTCATCCAGTCCATTACTGAACCCAGGCACCAATTCAGGACAGCTACTACTTCAGCTGAATTTGATGAAAAAGATAGGTAGAGTTGAGTATTGCCAACATATTGCTGACATCTCATCCCACACCTCTGGATAACATCCCCCCAGTGATTTCATGTAGATGTTGAAGAGCAGTATGGGGGACGGTATAGAGACCTGTGGAACCCCAGTGGTATAACTGCTATGGTGCAGAGCAACAATCCCCCAGCACCACCTTCTCGACACAGTCCACCAGGTAGGAGCAGAACCTCCACAAAGCAGTGGCTCCAACCCCTAACCTGTCTCAGTAGGACACCATGGTTGATGGTGTTGAAAGCTGCTGAGAGGTCCAGGAGAATCAACTGGGTTGCACTCCCCCATCTCACTCCCAGTAAAAGTCATTCCACAGAGCATTAACAGAGTATTAACCATCCCGAAACCAGGGCTGAAACAGATTTAGATAATCCATTTCCTCCAGGAGTGTCTGAAGTTGCTTGAAGATCTTGTATTTCTTACCCTTCTTGGAAATAGTATGGAATGAACCTGGGACTTTCTTCTTGCATAGCCTGAACTCTGTTGGTGACCCATGACCCTCCTCAAGCTCTGAAAAGTTACCATGTGTGTATAACTGTTTCAAGGAGAGGAAAGACAAAAGAGTGCACTCTCTCTTTCACTCTCACTCTGTCTCTCTCACTGCGTGCATGTGTTTGCACTCACAGAAGCAATCCTCCATCTCTCTTCCCCATCCCCTTGTTTTGCAGCCATGGCAATGAAGAGGATCCTCTTCGTCTTGGCTGATTTGGTGTTATTGAATGGTAAGTAAGCAGGGCTTGGGGCCATCTTAACTCCCCCTTCATTTTTTATGTGCTAGAAATGGTTATTCAGTGCCTATTATGCCAGGTATACCAAGGACACACCCCAACAAACACACACCCCTTTTACCTTAGCTAACAATCTAAAACTTCTAGAGAAATCAGAGAAATCAGCAACAGATTGAAATGCTTTCAGATTTCTATTAATGTACCTTGCAGATTCTGCAGCAGACCATTTTACATGGATTCAGCAGACTTGTGGACCGTGTGTGTGTGATTTAATTCAAATTTAGTCAGAAACATGATTAAACAAAAAAACCAACCAAAATGCCATAGTATGCATGGGGGTTGCATATTTTTGCCAATGAACAGGAGACAGAATGAGAGGTGTAAAAATGTGCAGATAAAATGGATCTAACAGAGACTATACATCTGGAAAAACTTACCTACAAATTTAAAGCGGCTTGCATTAAGATTAGATAAGCAGTGGAGGACTTGATCTGGAACTCTGTAGTAGATATGATTCCAGAGACAATGGAGAATGTACTCAATCAACCTGGAGGCCACATGTGTCACTCTGAAGACAGCTGGAAGAATGGCATTACCATTGTACCACAGCCTGCTTCAGTTGTGTCTGGAACTTCAACAGGGAGAGACGTTGAGGGATTTGCAGTGGTGGACCCATCATGGCCACCCCAGGGTAGTGCACTCAGAGTGACCTAGGTTCAAGAGATAACGTTCCCCTTCACAAGCAGTTGTGTGACTCTGCTATAGCTAGCATTGAATTGCAGATGATCTGGCTGAAATCAAGGGTCATCTCTTAGCCAATCTATTCGATGGTAAACTTTTGTGAATAATAGGAATCTACTAGAATCTATCTTAGAGCTGGGAATGAGTCATTACTGGACTGTCAGCAAATGCATAAACAAGAGATTTCTTGGAAATCTCCACCCAAGCAAAGGAGGAGGGAACAAATAAGATGCATTCCTCTTAGAATATTTTTGGGGGAGTTTCTTCTAACATGGGTGCCAGGAACAAGTCTCCCTGGTAGCAAGGGGGATGGAAACCAGTGCAGGTTTCACCAATTCAGGCACCCAGATGTGGTTTCTTCCCAGACAAAGGTGAGAGGGAGGTAGATCTGAGATAGGCACTACAAGAACTTTACCACAGACATTACTGGGTCTTCAAGGAACCAGATAGGTTGCATAGTACAGAGCTGTGCTGGCTACATGTGTTTACCCACTGTAGTAATTTGCACCTTTAGACCTCTTGTCTTGTGCTCAGAATCTGACCAAGCTTTTCCCACTCCATTTTTCCTGTCTCCTTAATAAATCTTTTACACAGTTTTCATCAAAAGTGAAGGCAAATGAGGGGAAGCTCACAAGATGGACACCACATTTGGAGGTTATGTCATGCCTCTTCAAAAGCCAGATTGCATGCAATATGCTGTCTTCAACCTGCTACCTAGATCTGCAACCCTAGGGACAGAGGTGGGCTGCCAAAAAGCCCAACACAAAGGATAGTGGTGGAATCCTTTGCCAGTCCTCACCTAAGGGCCAAGACTGATCCTTGGAGTCCCAGGGGCCCCAAGTCTGGTGGGGGACTGAGGAGATTGGGTTTGTTTCAATCTTGGTGGCGGCAGCCAGTGGGCCCTGCTGCAGGAGACTTTGTTTCTTTCAGATGGGGTTGCTGGCAGGTGCCAGGTCTCCACCAGGATTAGAAACATAGAAACAGAGGAACAGAGCAAGCCAGAAGGAGCCTCCTGGGCCATCTAGTCTCACCCCTGGCTCCAGCTGCCTACCATGTGCATGTCCAGTCTATCCTTAAACACCCTCACCAACAGGGCTTCAACCACCTCCTGTGGAAGCCCATTCCATACCCTAGGGGACCTAACTGTCAGGAAGTTCTTCCTGGCATCCACCCTAAATCTTGGTTCCCTGAGTTTTGCTCCATTGGAATGCATCCTGCCCTCCACTGCAGGGGAAAAGAGGTCATGACCCACCTCTGTGTGGCAACCCTGTATGATGACCTGTATGATGACCTGTGCAGGGAGAGAGACAGGGGGAGTGCGTCCCTGTTGGTTCTCCTGAACTTCTCAGCGGCTTTTGATACCATCAACCATGGTATCCTTCTGGAAAGGCTTGCGGGATTGGGAGTTGGAGGCTCTGCCTTGCAGTGGTTCCACTCCTATCTCAATGGCCGTTTCCAGAAGGTGGTGCTGGGGGACTATGGCTCTGCGCCATGGCAGCTATGACATGGAGTTCTGCAGGGATCCATTTTGTCCCCCTTGCTATTCAACATCTACATGAAACCTCTGGGAGAGGTCATTAGGAGGTGTGGGCTGCAGAATCATCAGTACGCTGATGATACCCAGCTCTACCTCTCATTCTCAACTAATCCAGGTGAGGCGGTGGCTGTACTGAACCGGTGCCTAACCAAGGTAATGGGCTGGATGAGGGTCAATAAACTGAAGCTCAATCCAGACAAGATGGAGGTTCTGTTGGTAGGTGGGTCTGGCTTCGGGTTGGGGAACCTGGACCTTGTCCTGAACAGGGTTGCACTCCCTCTTAGGGACAGGGTTCGTAGCTTGGGAGTGCTTCTCGACCCAGAGGTGACATTAGAAGCTCAGGTAACAGCAGTGGCGAGGAGCGCCTTCCTTCAGCTTCGGCTGATCCATCAGCTGCATCCCTACCTGGAGAACGACTGCCTGGAGACTGTGACATATGCATTGGTAACTTCTCAATTAGATTTCTGTAATGCGCTGTACATGGGGCTGTCCTTGAAGATGGTCCTGATACTTCAATTGGTGCAAAATAGAGCTGCCAGGTTGCTGACGGGGACTGGGCATTGTTCTCATATAACCCCAGTTCTCTGTCAGCTTCACTGGCTCCCCATTGAAGTCCAGGCCCAATTCAAGGTGTTGGTTATCACCTATAAAGCCCTAAACGGCTTGGGACCTGGTTATCTAAAGGAGCGCTTCCTTCTATATATGCCCCCCCCCCCGAGATCGGCGGGAGAGGCCCTTCTCCGGGAGCCCTCTGTGAGGGATATTAGGAGGGTGAGTACCCAGAGGAGGGTCTTCTCTGCGGTGGAGCCCCACCTATGGAATGCGCTTCCCAGAGAGGTCCTCCTGGCACCGACGTTATTTGTTTTTTGGCTCCAGGCCAAGAACTTTTTATTTAAATGATATTTTAATTGTTAATCTGTGTTTTATTTAATGGTTTTGTATTATTGCCGAGAACTCCAAATTTTCTTAGATTGTTCTATGCTTTGCTTATTTGTTTTCCTTGTGAGTCGCCCTGAGGCTTCAGTGATGGGTGCGGCATAGAAATGTTATAAATAAATAAATAAATCCCTCATGTACATGCATGTCCCTAACAGATCCACTCCGAGTCTCCTCCTCTCAAGGCTGAAAAGAAAGTTCCACAGTATCTAGCCTCCTTCAATTCATGGACTTCTTCTTAGAAACTGAGCCAAGCCAAAAGAAAGCCCACAAATGTTTGTAGGACAAATGTTGCATCACTGGCAACCTTCTGCATTGTGTGCAGCACAGACCAAAGCAGAAGAGGGATGCTGCTTGTACAGAGCTTGCATGGGGCTGATTCCTGCATGAACAATGATCACATTGGTCAGGAACTTGGGCTCAGTCATGAGAAAGTGGACTGGAGTCTCAGGAGCCAAGTCCATTGGATTCCCACCTCCAAGATGGATTCCTTGCATATTCCTAGTCTCTGGAGGGCCCCATCTCATCTGCTGCTGCTTCCAAGCTAATCTTCACACCCCTGTTCCCACACACACACACAGACCAGTCCTTTGCAGCACAGAATTTTGTGATACTTTTTAATTTAAAGTGCCGGGGAAAAAATACAGTCCTCCATGTGCTGGTAGAGTTACTCCCATAGCCAAAATGGCTTGAGGCCCTTTCCATGTAGACTAAATAGACAGACTCTGCAGAGGTTATAAAAAATAGAAATACAATTATAAAATGCAGAACATCACACATACCCCTCCCACAGCACTAGTAACATCAAATATCAAAAGAGAAATTTGGAAGGAAAACAGCCAGTATTTGCCTATGCCTCATCATGATTGTTATTGAAAAATTAAAAAATTTAAATAAATGGTTTAAAATTATTAATATCTTTGGGGAGGAAAGAAGAGAGACAGCTTCATGTTTTGTTTACCATTATCCTTCCCAAAGCTGGGAAGGCAAGAAAGTCATTTGAATTTCCTGCAATCTCTCCTGTATCTCTTTTGAAAGCAAGCAAGCAAGCAAGCAAGCAAGCAAGCAAGCAAGCAAGCAAGCAAGCAAACACTCTCCTAACTAATATCTTGTCTGTTTGTGGTTTGTGAGCATGGTGTTGTCTTGATTTCAGCCCAGCAATGCACGGAAATTCCTAATCCAGGATCGCTGAAGCAAATTGATGCTGGTAATGGACTTGTGGTCGGCCTGGAGCCAACGGGCAATGCATTCATGTTGAACGGAGATGACTGGCTCTACTTAGCTGGAGACATGAAGCATGTGACTGTGGGACCAAATGGTTTGTGGATGACTGGCAACAACGGCAATCTCTATCGAATGATAGGAGGCAATTTGGAGAAAATAGAAGGTATGGCAGCATCTCTGATAGGCCTGACATTTGAGGTCTAAGTGACATTTGAATGTGTATTTGACCCTATTGGAGTCATAGCTCCTGATGAGGGATGAAAGCATTCATGTGGGTTTCATGAATGGGGAGTGGGTTTCTAGAGCTCACTGCACATGGAAAACTATATATTGAGAAGGCCTCAATATAGCATCGTCTTTTCCCCAGACCAAAGATAACAGTAACACAGGATAATTGAAAGACTAAGTGCAAGACAAAGGTGCCCCAGCATGCTCAACGATCCATTTGAGCCCAGTGTTCAGTTTTGCAGCAGTCCGAATTACTATTAAGCAAATATGTTCATATTTGTAAGCCAGATGATTAGGGCAATTTGGCAGGCACCAAATAACCTGTCCAGGGCACACTGGCGCCTTCGGACCGTGTTGGCTATGCCTGTGCTACAGCATTTATTTGTTGGTGTGGGGAAAAGATTTCAGTAAGTTGCTGTATCATTGGAAGAAAATAATGCCAAAGGCATGTGCTTCTAGAAGGGTGACCACTTGCAAAGCACACACACAGGAAATGCATCACCAAAAAGGCAAGGAAGACATTTTGCATAATATTTGCATATGCTAATCAATATGCACAGATGCCTATTTAGGAATTATTCATTTGCAGAAGTCCTCTACTGCAGGGCATTCAACTGAGGCCTGCTAGTTGTAAAACAATTTAGTATAATTGTTTTTAATCTGCTCTAAATTTGGTGTTAAATTTTGTTCTGCAAACTTTTAATGATGTTTCAATATCCTTTAATGCAGTGTGTTTGTTACTATATTTTTCATATGCTGTTCTGAACTGCCCAGAGAGCTTCAGCTGTTGGGCTGTATAGAAATTAAATACATAAATATTATATTCATATCCTGCCTTTTTTCCTTTCAAGGAATTCAAGGCAACTTACACAATCTTCCTCTTCCTCCTCTCCTCCTCATCCTCACAACAACAACCCTGTGAGGTAGGTTGGGCTTAGAGTCTGTGATTGGCCCAAAGTCACCAAGTGAGCTTCATGGCTAAACAGGGTTAGAAGCCGGATCACCTGAGTCCCAGTCCTGCACTCTTAATTGTCTCTATAGAATAATTATAACCTAAGTAGAAATACACTGCATCTTCCCTTCGTGTGAAAGCCTGTGGCCAGCTGACCTCTGCCTCTGACTATGCATTTTGCTATTCAGGTACCAACTGAGAATGGGCCACGATCCCACAGTTCTTTATCTTTAAAGAAGAGGGGACAAGAGTGGCCTTCAGAGAGAAGCCACATTTCAACAAAAGGTCGTCTTCAACAGAAGGACACCCTGGGCATATGACAGATCATATAACACATTTCCACCTTTAGGGCACAGATTTGAAACTCTGGTGTATGTGAAATGGGTTTTTCTCAATGTTGTAGCAGAACTGAAGGATGAGGAAAGCATTGGAGGTTTTTCCAGTAGTGGGATATAATTGTTCTCACTCTGACCCTACCAATTCTTTCTTAGGATCCTTCCATCAGATTGATGCTGGGGGGGGAGCACTTTATGGCTGGTGTTACCCCTGAAAGTGAGAGCATGTGCTTATCCAGCTCTGAGCTGTTCAACTTGAAGGTCAACTCCTCCGTATCCTGGTCTCCTGTCCACAACTTGGTGGACTACTACAGCTGTGGCAAGAAAGGCTGTTGGGGCATCACCACTGACCACAGCCTTGTTTTTCGTTATGGTATCGAGCCAGAAAGATGCCAGGGAAATAGCTGGAAAACTATATCGGATGGCTATACCATGGTTGAGGTTGGCAACGATGGCACTGCCTATGCAGTACGTGAAAATGGGAGAGTCTATTACTGGTAAGGATACTAAAGAACATTTTGGATGTCTCCTAGGACAAGGGTGAGCAACTGCAGAATGTCTGAGGACCATTTTTGTCCCAGGACTGCCCCACAGGACACAGTCAATTGGGTGCCCCAAAGAAAAACATTTTTAAAAATGTTTTAAAGGGAAAGAGGGATCCCCATCCACTGCATGAGGCCAATGGAACATCTGCTACCTAGAGTTCCTGGGACAATTAGGAAAGTTTGATAGTGGGAATAGAGAGGAATAGAAATGCAGGACCTTGGAGAGGATCCAGAACTTTTTGTTTCTGCTTGAAAGCTGGACTTGTCCAGATAGGTGAGGAAATCCTTGCAGTGAAATGCATTTATGTATAGTATTTATAAACTGCTTTACCTGATAATTTCCTGAGTGCTGATCAATAAGAAGAAGGGGCTCAAGAATCAAAATACAGAATTATTATTTTTTTAAATCATGCTATAGCGATAAGAGTAAAACAATATCTCTGACATCAGCTTGCTGGGAGTTCTACAGAGTAGAAACCCATATGCTGAAGGACGTACTCCAGGTGGTATCCAAATGGAGCACTGGTCCATGGATGACCATGGGATGACCTCAGTAATTGGCAGACCATTAAGAGAAAAAGTGTTTTTTCAAAAGGTCTTTAAAAAAATATCCTCTACAGAAAAATGAGTTGGTTATTAAGTCCTCATCATGTACAGAAAGTTGTGTGAATCAGCCCTGAAATAGAGGCACAGGTATAGTCAAGACTTTTCATTTAAGATGTAGAATGGAGATTAAAATTCCACTTGACCATCAAATCAGAATTTTTTCCCATTGCTTTAACCATTATTTCAGGGACGAAATCACAGACTTCGATGCGTATCCCAAAGAGACAAGATTCCGCGGCATCATGTCTAAGGTCAAGCACCTGAGCTACGACTTGGGTATCCTATGGTTGATCACGCAGGATGACAAGATCATGCGATGCCAACTGTAGGGCCACATTGCTATGACCTCCTTTACATACATTTCATCAAAGGCAGACCAAATATCAATATCTATTTCCATGCAAGGGTGGTGTCTGTAAGCCGCCTGTCTGAATATTGAAAATACCATTAAATATCAGGCTTTTGCATTATAAGAGACAAGCTTTTATCTCCTCAGCCTTGCAAGATCCATCTTTTACATGTCAAAAGAGCTTGGGAAATCCATCAACCATCATTTAACTTTGAAGACTCATGTAGCTAATTTAAAAGGCTACATGCATCAACACCATAAACACTCCTGATGCCAACTTTGCACAGGACTAAGGCAAGATTTCATGAAAGTTAACTATGAGATGAAATTGACTACCAATTTTGGATCAGACCAAAGTTCCATCCAGTCTTCATGCTCAGTCAATGGATAATCATTGATAATGAAATGGAGGGTGAAGGATGCTCCTGCCCAATTTACTCCTTGCTTAATAGGAGCAAAACAGACAAGAGGAACAGATTTTTCCACATTGCCTTGGCTACAGAAACAAGTAAAGGAAAAACATGATGATGAGACTTTTTGTTCTCCCTGGCTGTTCTTTCTTTTCATATACCAAAAAACATACATGCACATTTATATCAAAGAATATCTCACCTTTCTTTCACCTTGAAATATCATCTAACTCCATGTAGGAAGTGTGGCTCTTTGAAGACTTAGAGCTATCATTACACATGTGCATTCTTAATAATAATAAGAAGAAGAATGGCATGATATCTAATCAAATTGATTTTCTACTCTGTGTTTGTTGGTGTGGCAATGGCAGAGAATTACACTGATCAAAAGGGCAGATTCAGCATCAGTTTGTTCCCATTTTTGTTTTGGTTTTTTAAGCTGTGGCTGCAAAAGGAAGGAACAGTTCTGAACGTGTGAGGGCCTCTTGGGTGCTTATGGGGCACAAGGGGAGGAGAAAGTTCCTCACAGCCTGGTGGAGCCACATTTTTTTTTTTTTTTAGTCAGGAGAAATAACATATACTCTATGGCACTTTAAAGACCAGAAAATTCATCCTGGCATATGTTTTGTGAGCAACATCCACACAACCAGTTCTAGTAGAGAGCATCATCAAAAGCTTCTAGCAGAATAAATTTGTTTAGGTGCAAGCCTATGCACGTTTAGATAGTCAGAAGTCCTGCAACTCCAGGTTGCATCAACTGGAGCTTAGTACAGAGTGTCCTGTTCCTCCGGTGGTGAAGAGCTTTACTGCAGAGGGGAGGGGAGGGGAGGGGGGGGGGGGGGAGGGGAGGGGAGGGGGATATGCTGATTGCAGAGCCCCTGTGCTCTGGCAGAAAGCTCAACTGTGTGTGGAGGTGTGTCTGGTGTTGAATGCCTCAAATCAAAGCAAAAGCGGCCTTGCATCTTCTGGAGATAAGGGCCCTTCTGCTCCTCCATGAGGCCTCTGAACTGGTTCCCTGCCAGTGCTGCGCATGTGCAAATCTGTACGTATGTTGCAGCCATGTTGCTAACAGGAAGCTTCCAAACAATTCATCAAATATATATATAAACTGAGAAATAATTATTGTAATTTAGAACAAAGCACACTACATCTTGGTGTAGTGTAGAAGACTGGAACCAGGTGTCCTCTCCTCTTGTGACCGGGTGCCCAGATGCTAATTGTGGTTGGGCGAGTGTGCTTAGGGTTCTGTTATCTCTAAACAAGGACTGGACCAGGCAGCTTTCAAATGGAGGGTGCCTTTGATGAGAAGATGGTCCCCTGGCTGCCCTTCAAACATTCCCCAAAAAGGAAATGTGGCCACCTTGAATTTTCCCTCCCACTGCAAGCAAGAAGAAAAATATAATGTTTCAAGAAACAGCAAGGATGAGAAGGAGAGAGTCCCCCACACCCGGACCTGCATGGGATGGTTCATCACTTCAGCTTGTTCCCCCTCCATGCGCTCATGCCACACAGAGAAGTTGGTATTGTTTGTTCAGAATTTGCATAGATCTTCTCTCTCTTTCTCTCTCCCTCCCTCCATCCATCATACAAATTCATGGCTAGTAATAAGGACCTTCCAAGAAGAGCTGTACTTCACTCACACACATGCACATGTGCACATGCATGTGACACAGAAGAACGATCTTTTAAGATGAGACACACACATGCACGGAGCACACACATATGCAGCTCTCACACACATAACACTCAAGTATGTAACACTCATAGACCCAGACTGAAAGGAAACTTTCTTGCCCAAAATATTGTTTATTCAATATGCAGGTCAGGTTCAGTGCATTGAATCGATTAAAACACATACGTTAACCCACTGGGGTTGTTTCTGAGTGACAATTTATATAAGCCACAGCATAGGAAAGGAATGTTGCTGGGGATTAAGACTGGCACAACACACGGACCGTCCAGAGAACTCTCTGCATAGCTTTGGACTCTGAATTGTGACCTCTACTCTTCAGAGCTTCATTTTGTATCTTATCCCATCTTTGTTCCTGGGATGCTCCTGCCTCTATTGCTCTGAAAATGGAAATGGAATAGTTATCAGTTTCATAATGAGACTGAGCTGGTTTTGTCAGTTGGCAGCTTGAAAATTTAATGTCTCCCCATACTTCCTCTTTCCTTCTGAAGGGCATTTGCTATTGGTCATTGTACAGACAGGACAGCCACCCTCCGAGAGGATATATTGCCTTAGGAAAGCAAAGATATGGCCATTGGTGCTCTTGACAGGCACTGATTCTGCTGCAGCAGAGCCTTTCCTGATCTGAGATACCTGTGAAATCCAGGTGAAGGAAGTGCGGGAAGGAGATACAACCATTCTGACCTGCCAGGATTACTAGGAAGATGGATGGGGAAATAGTGGAAAGCATAATCTTATAAAATAGAGACTGCTGTACTGGAGGAACCTCTGGACTGTGAACCAAACATGGCCAGCCTGTGGGCCAAATCCAGCCCTTGAGGGCTTCCCAGATGACCTCACCTCCCTCCCCTGGCCCCACACTTTCCCTGTTGTGTGTTCAGTAGTTTCCCAGCTTTGCCCAAGTCTTCCCCATTCTGAAAGGTGGACCTTTCCTCCTAAGGTTTGCATACTGGAAACAAGAGCTGCTAAACTTAATCCTGCCGGTGCCCTTGTCCCCACTCCTCTTGCCTTTCACCTGGACCAGCACTGGAATGCAGCCCCCAAGGGGGCTATGGATTTGAATTTGGCCCTTGGGTTGAAAGAGGCTCTCCACCCCTTTCTAACAATAGTGTGCCACATGTAAATGAAATGCAGAACTGCCAAAAGAACACCCTTCTCCTTTCCATAACAGATGGCAGAGGGGATCAGAATGGTGAGGATGAGTCTTAGTTTAATTAAGCTGTTCCTAATTATAGAAACACAAACAGAGCCAAGAGAAAACGCCTCTGGCCTTTCAAAGAAACAATGCACCCCAGAGGTCCCGAGCATCTGCTGGCATTTCTGCTTTCCCACCCAATAATCCCTCGCCGGTGTGATGGGAATGCGGTTGCAAGGCACTGCTCTGCTGCAGCAGGCACACAGTAAAGCAAGAAGGCAGAAGCATCCGTGCTTCTGATACACTCCTGCTCAGCCTGTTTTCTGCTGAATGTCAGCAGTGAAATAGAAGAGAGCAGTAGAGCCACCCAGACAATTTCCAGGGCATTACAGACCCCTTGACGACAAATGCATTGGGCCAAGTTGGCACTGATCTTTGGGATGACTGTAATAAATGTCACCAAACGCACAGTACAGCATGCATTCGAGATGCTCACTTCTGGATATAACACTCATAGCTCTAGTTTGGTGGGCGTGAGAATTCATTGCTATATTATGTATAAATTGGTTGTGTGCTGTTCATCATCTCTCACATTGCAATTAGCAGTTAATTCAATGCATGTTCTGCGTGACCAGCTGTGTTACTGTTAAGATTGGGTAGCCGGAGTAAAATTAAATGAAAACATCTTTCTGCTTTAAAAAAACAGTGGGATGCTGAACCAATTAAGAAGAAATAAAGCAAAATTGGAGTGGTTGTTTGGAAGATGATTGTTACCTAATCATTCCATCGGTGTGCTCAGGGAAGAGTGAGCTGGAGCCGAACTATGCTAGCCATGCTTTTGTCAGAGTCTGTTGGACTCAGAGGTGCTAATGTCCCTTTTGAAAAATTAGGCACCCGGATTTTGCTGACTCCTTCTGGCCGCCATGGTCCTCTGCTCTGTTCTAGAAAGCCCCCAACTATTGAGAGCAGTTTTAAAGTGGGGAGGGTGCACAATGCCAGTGGACAGGATAGATCTGGTGCCCCACTTTGCCCTAACAACACAAATGTTCCATGGAACAGTGGTCCCCCTGCATCATGGCCAGAAACAATGGGAGAACCACAATGGACTCAAATCAGTTTTATTTTCCCAGAATGTCACTTCTCAGATTTGAGGGCTGCTTTTTAAAAAACGCATAACATTATGCAAACGCAGTCACAGAAAGATACATAAAACTAAAAAGAGACAAAAGCAGGTGTTTTCCCCATAGGCCACAGCATGAAAAGATACATTTTCCAGGGATTTGTCCATTTTCAGGAGTGCCAATTTGCACGATTATAAATTTGCAGGAATAGATTTGCACAAAATCTATTTTGGCCAGGAGGAGGGCAACAGAATGAAAGGCAGCTGACAATGAATGCAACATGGATGGCATGGATTTTACATCCATGGATCCTTACCCATGATTTAAGTGCTTTACTGAATTGTGACATTCTAGGAATGAATAAGAATTGCATTTTAGTTCTTTTTCAGTTTAAAAAGTACTAGAATCTGTAGATTTCTTCATATGCAGAAAGGAAAATGCTTGAGATTTTAAAAAAAAATCAAATGTAGGAGAACCAGCATTGTCAGATTCTTCCTGTACACCCTCTTAAAACTCTTGATTTAAATCCCTTTGCATTTAGCCATGTTAGTGCTACCTTAGATTTGTCAGTTCCCAATCTTTAGTAGTCTCATGGTTCTCTCCATGCTGTACTTATTGAATTCG